ACTAACGCCAAACATTCGGTAGAATTTATAGAATATTGTAAAAATTATGGTCTATTACCAACACATATATGGTTGCAAAATGGTTGAAGGTTGCAAAACAGGCAGTGGCAACTGCAATGACGAAAGCATCAGATAGGTTAATGAAGGAAATGGAATTTGATGTGAGTTCGAGGAAAATGTTCAAAGTAGCAAAGCAGTCAATGAGGGATAGGAAAGATGTTATAGGGAATGGATGTGTTTGGGATGGATCTGGCAAGTTGTGCATAGATGAGGAGGAAAAAGCTCAGGTGTGGAAAGCTCATATGGAAAGGTTGATTAATGAAGAGAATGAGTGGGATGGAGATGTGGAATCCGCAGTCACACACGAACCTATAGAGAAGGTGACGATGGAGGAAGTAGAGAAAGCAGTTAGAGAAATGAAACTAGAGAAATGAAACATATTAAAGCGAGTGGGGTGATAGGAATTGAAGTTATGATGAGAATTGCTAACAGTATGTTTGATGATGAAGGTATACCTGAGGATTGGCGACACAGTGTGTTGGTGCCGTTGTATAAGGGCAAAGGAGATGTGAGAGATTGTGGGTCATACAGGGGTGTGAAATTACTAGAGCACGGAATGAAGGTAGTGGAGAGGGTGCTTGAGAGGAAGTTGAGAAGTATGGTGACAGTTAATGAAATGCAGTGTGGGTTTATGCCTGGTAGGGGAACGGTGGATGCGTTGTTCATGGTGAGAATGTTGCAGGAGAATTATAGAAAGAAGAAACGAAGATTGTACATGTGTTTTGTGGATCTAGAAAAGGCTTTTGATCGAGTACCGAGGAAGGTCATTGAATGGGCGTTGAGAAAGAAAGGAGTGAATGAGAGACTTGTTAAAGCTGTGATGCAGTTGTATGAAGGGGCAAAGACAAAGGTGAGGGTTGGAAGGGGGATGTCGGACGCTTTTAGTGTTAAGGTAGGAGTGCATCAAGGATCAGTGTTATCACCGTTTCTGTTTGCAATTGTGATGGATGTTGTGTGTGGAAACATAATGGAGGGGTTGTTATTTGAGATTTTGAATGCAGATGATTTAGTCTTGATGGCTGATAGCATGGAAGAATTGCAGTTAAAATTTGACAGATGGAAAAGTGTTATTGAAAAGA